ATCCCCTCAAAACCCCCCCAAAAAATCCCCCAAAAATTTCCTGAAAACCCCTTCAAAATCCTCTCAACCCCCCCCCAAAACCCCCTCAAAACCCCCTCAAAATTTCCTCAAAATCCCCTCCAAAATCCCCTGAAAACCCCCCCAAAAAATCCGCCCAAACTCCCCTCAAAATCTCCCCCAAAAATTTCCTCAAAACCCCTTCAAAATCCTCTCAAAACCCCCCCAAAAAATCCCCCCAAAATCCCCTCAAAACCCCCTCAAAATTTCCTCAAAACCCCTCCAAAATCCCCACAAAATCCCCCCAAAGATTTCCTCAAAATCCCCACAAAAATTTCCTCAAACCCCCCCCAAAATCCCCTCCCAAAATCCCGCATCCCCCCACCAAAAATCACCCGGGAGCCCCAAAACCCGACTGGGAGCGATGGGCGGCCATTTTATCCCCTCACGTTTCCCGCCATTTTCCCTCACATTTCCCACCATTTTCCCCTCAATTATCCCACCATTTTTCCATCAATTTTCCTCCCATTTTCCCCTCACATTTCCCGCCATTTTTCCCTCAATTTTCCCACCATTTTCCCCTCACATTTTCCACCCCTTTTTCCCTCACGTTTCCCACAATTTTCTCCCGTCACGTTTCCCGCCATTTTTCCCTCAATTTTCCCGCCATTTTTCCATCAATTTTCCCGCCATTTTTCCATCATTTTTCCTCCCATTTTTCCCCTTACGTTTCCCGCCATTTTTCCCTCAATTTTCCCACTATTTTCCCTTCAATTTTCCCGCCATTTTCCCCTCACATTTCTCTCCTTTCCCCCTCACATTTCCCACCATTTTCCCCTCACGTTTCCCCCCCTTTTCTGCTCAATTTTCCCACCATTTTTCCATCAATTTTCCTCCCATTTTTCCCCTCAATTTTCCCGCCATTTTCCCCTCACATTTTCCACCCTTTTCCCCTCAATTTCCCACTATTTTCCCTCAATTTTCCACCCCTTTTCCCTTCAATATTCCCGCTATTTTCCCTCAATTTTCCCACCATT